GGAGAAACAGAGTGCTATGGAAGTTCCCAGGAATAAACAAGGAAGACCCTACCATGGACTACTGGCAATAGTCAAAAGGGTGTCTCATCTGGCCTACTCTGATGTTCAGATGGATGAGTACCCTAACTGTCATCATGGAGCCCTCATTCAGTGACTGATGGAAGCAGATGCAGAGATCTACGGCTGGATGCTGAGCTGAGCTCCAGGAGTCCAATCAATGAGAGAGAGGAGGGATTCTATGAGCAAGGGACATTGAGATCCTGATGGGAAAAAGTACAGACAACTAGCCAAACTAGTGGAAATGCATATACTGTGGACCAAAGGCTGAGGAGCCCCCATGCTACAGACTATGTCCTCTGGACAGGCGAGCCAGTTGTTTAGCTTAAACTGTTTAGGGGTCCCCCAGGCAGTGGGATCATAACCCATCCCTAGTGCATGAGCTGGCTTTTTGGAGCCTAGTGCCCATGGTGAGACACTTTGTGTAGCCTTGGTGCAGGAAGGAGGGGCTTGGACCTGCCTCACCTGAATGTACCAGGCTCTGCTGAATCCCCATGGGAGACCTTGCCTTGGAGGAGGTGGGAATGGGGGGTGGGTTGTGGGGGAAGCCTGGGGGCAGGAGGAGGGAGGACAGGGGTATCTGTGGTTGGTATGTAAAATGAATGGAAAATCTCTTAGTAAAAATAATAAAAAAAGATTAAAGCCATGCACCAACACCACCTGGCCTACAGTATAGAATTTTATTCAGCTGTAAAGATATATATTCTGTTTCCAGTTAATGACACACAGTGCACTCCACTGTAGCATAGACTCAGGCCTGGGAGTCCATCATGTTACTTGACAAACTTCCTAACTGGATAAATGCTGTGGCCTATGGGATCCTGCTTCTCCTTTTTCTCATTCACGGGAGCTCTTCGGGTGACATAGGGAACCTTAGATTAAACTGGTAAGTAATGCAGAGTAAGAGGCTGAGACTACAGAGAGCGAGTAACTCATAGACATGTCAGAAGAAATTGTAGGAAATGTGTGTCCTCAAATTCCCTTACCAGGGCCTGTGAAATGAGCTGGTAAAGGTGCCTGCCTCTGAGCTGGTGGCCAGAGTTCAACCCCAGAACCCACACTATAGAAGGAGAGAACTGACTCCAAATGCCCAGACCAAAGCCCACAGAGTAGCCTTCTCCCAAGCAAAGCATCACTATACAAGAGGAGGTCACCCATAGTGAGGAACCAGCTCAGTAGTAGGGGATCTGAGTTGTGCTGGACCAACAGGTCAGGGGATAAAGGAGCAGATGGATCTTTTCCCTCAGTGCTTTTGTAGCTGTGACTGCTATTGGACTTGTGGATAATAATGATATAATACATTGATGCTGTCAGATATCTGTGAGTGTGTCAGCCCCAAGGACAGAACAGTGGACGGGCAGTCATCAAAAGGTATTAAAGTTATTGGAGCATAGAGAAATTCCTGGTGCCCCACATTCTTCACTTGACCTTAGTGGTCCCTGGGTTCCCTTCACCATGAACCTACGCTGGGGCAAGGACAGGCTGGATTCTAGAGCAAAAGGCAAGGGTGCTCTGGGCCTATCAGCAACTCTCAGGTCCTTATCAGAAGTTGAGCCAGAATGGCTTCGTGCCCAGGGTGTGTGTGCAGCACTTACACTCTCCTAGTGTGAACCTTGTTGACCTCCTCCTGGGCCTCTGCAATCTGATAGTGTAAACTTTGGGACCTCTCCCTGAGCCTCCCTAGTCAGATCCACTGAACTCACCTCACTCGTGGCCCCTGCTTTGGGGCACCAGGCTCAGGGAGGTCAGGAGGGATCTCCATGCATAAAGATCTGCCTGACTGACTTGTGGCTACTGTGTGGAATATCCCTTCTTTGGATTCCTGGGCTCAGAGTCAGTGACAACTTTAAGAGGGAGGGAGTATATTCTGACTTATTCTGTCTCATCTTGGCCTGTGTCATCCAAGGGAACATCAGAGTGGTGGAGGCTTAGAGAGAATGCCCAGGATTACTTAGAAAGAATATAATAACTGTGTGTTTTGTGACACACCTATAAACCCAGAACCTGGGAAACTGAAATAGGCCAGTCTAGACTACATACAATACTCTGTCTCAAAAATAAAATAAAATAAAATAAAATAAAATAAAAATAAAAAATAAAAAAAAATAATAAAAAGAAGAAAAAGAAAACATATGTTCATCTAATGTGGTTTTCACCAATGACTCCTGCTCTGGAATATGGCTTTTTAACTTCCAGCCAGAAGAAAATGTTGTTCAATTACACAGGGTTTCATGGTGAGGTTTTCTGTGAACATAAAGCACTGTGGGTATAGGCAGGCTCTAAGCAGGACCATTTCTGTAGGTTTTGTCTTTTGGAATAACTGTCAGGCATCACAGGCAGGAGCTATAAGTGAGACAACTGAACAAAAATGCTGTCTGGTAAGTCTTGTGTGTAGGCAGCAAGTCACAGGGGACAGGGTGAGCACTTGACTCATAAAAATGTCAACAATTTGCTCTTGGGTGGTTGTGAGTGGCTGATGTCCTGTCCTCATCCACAAAGGTGGCACCAAAGATGCTGATTCCTGAGGGTCAGATGGGGAGGGTGACACAGAGAATTCACTAGGCTGATTTGCAGCTCTTAACTTTTCTTGTTGCAACTCACCAGGTCTGCCAAATTCTGCAGTGTGAGAACGTGGTGCTGTGGGAGGGGAGGTGCCGGGAGGTGGGAGCTGGTAGGGATCACACACAGCAGAAGGAGGGTCTCACTGGACACCTCCCTGCACTCTCAGGCAGAGAGGATCAGGACTGCTTAAGACTGCACAGCATCCAGTCAGGACATTTTCTGAGGTAAAGAAGAGTTAACAACCCCATGGTGTCCAAACCCTTATCTTCACCAATGTCCACACTTAGAGCAGGTAGGTTGTCTAGGTCAGTGGGAGACTTTGTGTCGTCTCCTCATTTCCTGATCCCACCACAGCAGCC